CACATTTTTACCCATTTCAACTTTTTCTACATTTTTATGCTAATTTAGAAAACTTCTACTCGCTTGAAAATTACCTCGGAGAGGTCGAAACGTCGTGCTCTTTTATCTCTAATTTTTATCTCGAAATCTTGTAATTTGACTGTGGCAATAACATTTATCGCGCAGTCATTCCGGATTTGTCCCATTAATCATGAGTCATCTTTATAACTGACGACAAAAAAAAAAGAATAACTTTAATAGCTAACACAATTACTGGTAACCCAGTAGTTTACATTGTGGGCTTATAAACAAATAATTCAAATTGAACATAACATTTGGTACAATGAATATATGAAGTTCATATCTTTTGAACTGCGGTATTAAATACGTATGATGCACGATCCTTCGCAGTAGATAGCGCTATTTATGCAATAGCGAAAATCAGACCTGAAAAAAATCAGGCCTGTACGGGATTCGAACCACTGACCTCTGCGATACTAGTGCAGCGCTCTACCAATTGAGCTAACAAGCCAACTGGGAGCAGGCCGTTAAGTTGATTCGTAATAAACCCGTGATGATAAATCAGATACAATGAATATATGAAGTTCATATATAACGGCCTGCTCCCAGTTGGCTTGTTAGCTCAATTGGTAGAGCGCTGCACTAGTATCGCAGAGGTCAGTGGTTCGAATCCCGTACAGGCCTGATTTTTTTCAGGTCTGATTTTCGCTATTGCATAAATAGCGCTATCTACTGCGAAGGATCGTGCATCATACGTATTTAATACCGCAGTTCAAAATATATGAACTTCATATATTCATTGTATCTGATTTATCATCACGGGTTTATTACGAATCAACTTAACGGCCTGCTCCCAGTTGGCTTGTTAGCTCAATTGGTAGAGCGCTGCACTAGTATCGCAGAGGTCAGTGGTTCGAATCCCGTACAGGCCTGATTTTTTTCAGGTCTGATTTTCGCTATTGCATAAATGGCGCTATCTACTGCGAAGGATCGTGCATCATACGTATGAACATAACATTGTTAAGAATCCCAACTGGCCGGAGGCAATACTGTTGGCTATTTACAAACATGGCCGAGGATTTGAACTCGGAGCTACCGTGAAACAAATCCAGGTAGTGGTCAGGGTGGGACTCGAACCCAGGAGCGACGGATTGCGAGTCCCACACTCTGGCAAAGCTGACGCAGGGTGGCAAATGTTGGCTTCAGAAACTTTGTTAAATTTCTATGGCATGAAGCCAAACCCATTAGGGAGACATTTAAACTTGAACAATGTGTTTTCCTTACAAATCTTACATACCTTTGATGCATTTTAGCAATGGGAACCGAATAATTGGCGTGACTCTTTCAATTCAATAGAGGCCATGAACCAATTAGGGGTAATGACCCTAACCGCTGGCCAAACTGAATTCATGTTAGAATGTTGAAAGAATGGAGTTGCAGATTTTTCTGCAATATGAAGGTCAAGGAGGCGTTCAAATGGGTTCATATTGAGCGATTAAATAGGTATACTTGGAGTGTGAGGTGAATTCTTCTTGTAATTTAGTGTCGTCCAAGAACCAGACTCAATACCGCCTGAGTGGACTTCACTTTCATCGGAAACATGCTGTTATAAAAGGTTTTTAACTGAACCCGGGAATTGTCGCCCTATTTCGCTATTATCTATTTTTAATAGAATATTTTGAAAAATTGATGTACCATCAACTTAAAACCTTTCTTGACAAAAACGATATCTTATTTAAATCCCAGTATGGCTTTCGTAAAAAGCACTCGACTCAACACGCTGTTATTGACATTGTTAACATTATACAAAATAATATGGACTTAAAATTATTTACTTGCGGCATCTTCTTAGATCTAAAAAAAAAAGCCTTTGATACCGTTTACCATTCAATCTTACTTAAAAAGCTTGATCATTATGGTATCAGGGGCATCATTAATGACTGGTTTTCCTCGTATCTCTTGGTCGTACACAAGTGACTGAATTAAATTCTAATCTATCCAACGTTAATAAGATCTCATGTGGCGTCCCTCAAGGCTCTGTTCTTGGCCCTTTGTTATTCTTAATTTATATCAATGATTTTCATAAATCTTCTTCGAAATTTTCGTTTTATCTTTTTGGAGTTGACACAAATTTGTTGTATGCCGATAAAAACTTTTTATCGGCATACAATCTTGAATCTCAAGACCCTTGAAAAAACGGTCAATAGCGAATTGGTCAAAGTTTCTGATTGGCTCAATGCAATCTAAAAAATCTAACTTTGTTATTTTTCGTCCTTATCAACGTGAACTGGACCTTACGGTCAATATTCAAATGTTTGATAATGGTAATTATTCTTTTACCTCTCTCGAATGTAAAGATCATATGAAATATCTAGGTGTCTTATTGGATCGTCATTTCAGTTGGAAATTTCACATTGACAATGTGGCACTAAAAATAAGTAGAATTATTGGAATTATTGCACGCCTTCGGCATCTCGTACCTTTAACCACTTTATTGACTATTTATCGCTCTTTGATCCTCCCTTACCTATCCTATGGCGTGGCTGTTTGGGGCCAAGCTGCCAAATCCCATTTACAAAAAATCCTCGTCCTACAAAAACGTGTTCTTCGGCTGATATATTTTTCTGAACCAGAGCACACGCAGTGCCTTTATTTATCTCCTCAAAAATCCCGTCCATAAATAGCTTATACGTTAAATCAGTTTCCTCAATTATGTTTGACTTCTCATGTCTAACTGTTCCTACCAACATTAGTAATCTTTTCATTAAAGCTACTGAAAAGCATGATCATGATACGAGGTTCTCTTCTTCCCGCAATTTTTATATTAATCCATCGAGATTGAATCAAAGCCAGGGCTCTTTTGCTATCTTCGGAGCTAAACTTTGGAACTCCATTTGCGATGCTCTTCGTCAAAACTGCCGAGGAGAGCTTTCAAAAAACTCTTCAAGGACATGTTATTTTCGTTCTTAGAGGTTGAGGATTACTATTTTGAATCGCCCCTTCTACCTCAAAAAATTACTTATTATAAACCGGCTTCATAATTTTTCTGGAAATGTTATTAAATTATGTTTAAGCTTTATTTGTAATCTATCACCACTGCTGTACCTCTAATTCCCGCTCGCCCCGACTAGCTCCTGCTATTTGCGAAGGTGAACGGTCTTCATGAATATGAAAGTTTGCTTGACAACCAATTAATGTTGATACCTTGTAAGACGTGTAGATTAGATTAATAATAATTATATTAATAATAATAATTAAGTAAATGTCAATTAATAATTATTAAGTAGATGTCAGTACATCTTATGAAGTTTAAAGGTCTAATAAAGTTTGCTGGAGTGCACTTCAGCAGCTGTACTGATTGAACCCTGTTCATACTTCTTGCAGGCCAGGCTTATGAATATCAGTAGCAGAGGTTGTATGTTATGGATGAATTACAACTTTGAATGATAGAAAGTTGTATAAAAAAGGTTCTAATTGATGATAGAAGCTTGTATAAAAATTTCCAGTTCACCTTAAATTCATTTTATTTTTGGTATGGACTCGTTCTGAATTAATTGTTGATTAGTGCCTCAAATAGCGGATTAGGTGTTTGTATCCATTTTACGAAAATCTGATTGCATTACTCAGTAGTGTCTGAGTTTACATAGGGTGAATTGACTTTTTCAAGAGAAAATGTAATAAATTATAAAGAAATTCTGGATATACACTCTGGCAATGAGGTAGATCAGAAGAAGTTGACCTCATCAGAGTTGAAAGAGTGTGCAGGAAATTTTCGGTGTAAACGCCTCCCGCCTTTCAATTTAGTTAATCTCGTAAAAAATGTTTATGAATAAAAAAATTGGCAAACTGTTTCTGGTATTAACCTGTAAATTCTAAAGGTGCCCAGCCAAATTGTTATTTTAGAGCTGCAGAGGAATTTCTGTGAGGAAATGCATGGAGTTAACTATATAATATAACAGATGTAGTTGTCACTGCCATAATGTATGTCACCAAAAAAAAATTTGAGAGTGAAGTGCACTTCCCTCTCAATATAATTTCACTTAAACCATGGTGAGTATATCAATGGGACGATTAATAAAACCTTGACTCAAAGATTAGGCTATTTGGACAAATTTACACGAGTACCATGATTCCAAAAATGCCAATTGGGCCTGCCATTTAAGCATACTGTCTATGACCAAAAGTAAAAGGCATCTTTTTTGGATGTGAAATATTTATTGATTTTTTAAGCCTTTGTATATCATTAAATAGTTGTGTGTTTATAAAAATATCAGCTAATTAGTCATCTCACTATAATAAAGGCTGACTTTGTCCCAAACATTGCTCGAATAGTCATGTTACTTGGTTTTCAGAAAACATCACCTATTAATGAGTGATTTGCTTCTAAATTACAAAGCTTAACATGGAAAATTGGCACACTGAGAGTGCACGCAGTCTTAACTTGCATCATCATTGTGAGCTAGACGACTTAGTACAGGGAATTTACATCAGCAGACTTGTGTTGCTGGTTAGTTTTCCTAAAGCAAGTTAAAGTACAGGCGCACTAGGTACTTTAAAGGTTATTTAGCAGAAAAAGATCAATTCTTCTTGCTAAGTAGACACAGATTGTTTTGATATAAATAAGAATGTTGAAGGCTACCAGCCAGCTCTTGGTAATGCATTTATTTATTTGTTTTCAAACTTCATTTCACGGGTTTGTTTTCATTTTCAAGTAAAACAGCCATCCAGAGGAACAGATGAGGGTAATTATTTAGTGTAGAAGAGACAGAAAAGAAAGTTAAACTTGTATACAAGTGTAATGACCAACTGTGTCTTTCTGAGATTTCTTTCTTTCACTCTGATTTGCTATCCTAGCCTCTCTTTGTCCGCAGGAGTACAAGGTTAATCTTTTTAAAAGGTTTACATAGTCACCCCACCTTCTTATCACTTTGATTATGAGTGGATGGCTAATTTTGCCAAAAGCTACAATCAATCCTGAATATCAAATTTTTTTTTTTAAGGGGAAGGAAAGGTTAAAGAACTAAACAAGGTGCGGTAATTATTTATTTCTGTCTTACATAGAGACAATTATCTCTCTATTCAATCTGCAGAGACTCAGTTAGTTCAAAGGGGAATTATTTATGAAGAGATGAATAAGATGTTGATTACAATTGACAAGCTTCTTGTTTATGCTGATAGTTGATTCATTATTTTTCTGGATCCTTTTAATTTTTTTCTTAATTTCTTTTCCATTCTGCACACTCTGAAACAGTAACAATGAGCCCTGATTCAGATCGAATAAGTCAGTCAAAGTTAATTAAGTTGCGTTCCTTGACTGGGAGAGATTTTGCTAGGGTGCTCAAAATTCACTCTTAAAGTACAGGGAATTTAAAGCAGCAATCAAAGTTGCAACCATTTTGGTTGCCATGGTCGGTGTAAAAAATATTTGGCTGTAAAATTTTGATTAAAGTCACTAATTGGCGATCAACAGATTAAAAAAGAAAAAAAGAACAAGAAAAGGGTTGTCGGCCAAAGTTTTTTATGGCAAATATTTTACTTTAAAAAATTGAACTTGGAGCCTTGCAAAGAAACTTATTTGATGAGGTTCAAGATGTCTGTCTAGTTTAGTCCTCTATATCCTGCCCATTTAAACATTTCATCAGCTCAATTACTCCAAAATTCATAACCACTGGTGCCCTGTGTGAAGTCCTGCTGACAGAAGTTGTTCAAAAGCCAATTTAAATTAGTGGATCCTGAGTCATTTATATACATTTCCATGATTAGCAAATCTGAATAGCTGCTCACAAGGCTTTGATTTGCACAGCCGTGGAAGGATCCAGAGAGGCTCTTTGAGCCTAAAGTCTGTTTCTCCTCTCCAAATCCTGAGTATGTACCGGAATATGATCTGCAGATAAAGCAAGGTGCATACATGAGTATTGATGGTTAAATCATACAGGGAATGACCCATAACAGACTTACTGTGAGTCGTATTCTATTATTACATTTTTTCAACAATCTTACAGGTTTTTAACGACTGCATCCATGGACACATTGAAATTCACCCTTTATGTGTAAAGATCATAAACACTCCACAATTCCAGCGCCTTAGAGACATAAAGCAATTAGGTGAGTATTCTTATGCTATGTGGCCTTATGTTTTGGTTCAATTTTAGCTCAATTTAAGTCAATTCTCCGCACTTAATTTCCATCATAAGATGAAACTGGTTAATCAAGAAAGACATGAATCACAATCTGCTATCCTACTGTAGAGATGAAAGGAGTTATGAAGGAGAGAACTAGTAGTGATTTGGTATTTATTCTGTTTGTCAGTTATTTTGTTATTAATTTGGTACAGTACTGCATAGTGGCAGTGATGTGGAGGGCAACAGGCCTTTCAACAACTATTAGATGTTTCTTTTAGGTGGAAAATTAATATTGAATTGACTCATGCCTGTAGCTATTTCTCCATGGCTTTGAACAATAGAATAACACAATAAAGCACAAAAAAGAAAGTAATGCCAAGGAAACAACACATAGCTGTCGAAAATAATTTTTTTTCGCTGTTTGGTAAAAAATCTCCTCAGTTCTTTTCTTTTCTTTTCTTTTCTTTTTTTTTTCGTTTTAATGGAGCTGGGCAAGCAGGACTTTAAATAAGCAAAATATAGTATAATAAATGCAATAAAAATATTGCTTATCGTAAAATTGTTGTCGTTCATGTTCTCACGTTTAGGAGGATGCTATTATGTATTCCCAGGAGCTTCACATAACAGATTTGAACATTCCATTGGGTAAGTCTTTCGGATGTAAATTGCACACTGCCAAGTCAATAGAGGGTAGGTCAAGCATGTCTCTAACATTGCATTATTGACTTTCAAAAACAGAAAAGGAAAATTCCATGAATTCATGAAAGTAAAGAAAGAACTGAGTAACCGTTCATGCAGCTCATTATATTTGACTGGACATGGTCTTAGATCACATTTGGCCAGATATGATCATTGCAAACACTTCTTTAAATTACAAGCTATTACGTTTGTGTAATAACATCTTTCTTTCCTAAAGAAGTATGTCTCTGAATTGCAGTACTTTTCTTAAAATTCAACTTTTTTTACTGTGAAGTGCAAAACAGGAGATCAGGAACGCAGAGGAAATAAGAAGCACCATCAATAAACCAAGAAAATCAGACATGCAAGGATAGCTAAGCAAGGAAAATATTACGATTGAATTACGATTGACTGAATCAAAAAGAAAAATGAATAACAACACATTTCTTTTTTTAAGTGTCATAATTTGATTCACTTTTATAGTCATTAGTAATAATTATTGCAGTTTCACAAAATGTGAAATAGCTCAGTTGAATGTCCACCACTTGAGCAATGGTAATTAATCTTTGGTGTAGAACTTGCTACCTGGCCGGAAAACTTGTGGAGGGTTTGTGCAAACATCAACCAAACCCGAAAATCACACCTGAGGACGTACTCTGTGTGAAGATTGCTGGGCTGTGTCATGATCTAGGTTTGTCTTCTGTTTATTTCAATTCAGAGTTATAGTTACTTCCCGCAGCAAAAATGCAAGGACCATTTTACTCTTTCATCTCATTGTATGGAACAAGTACCCGTCAATCCCCCCAAAAAGTCCTGAATGGTTCCTGTTGCCACCCCATAGGGATGTCAAAGGAAGAAAGAGAACTAAATCTCATAGAAGAATTTCTACAAAGAAAAAAGTGGTTGTCTTCAATGAATGACCTTTGGAAGAGGGAATATTTACATAAAGTGCTAGGATCCTAGGGAGAAGTCTGGGAGACTAGTCCTCATCCCCTGAAAGAGGAGGATAGGTATGACAACCCCTTATTGGTCGCGACAGAAGATGCCGTGCAGTTGTGGTTCAATTAAAGACGAACTACTGGCAAGTTGTATAAGCTAGAGCTCGGCGTTGAAGCAGATAATCTCCTGCCCATTACAAATAATTCTGATGAAGGTGATGAGTTACCACTCTGTGATGTGGAGTTGATAGACAAAGGAGTAGTTAAAGCTTAATGAAAAGTTGAGAAAAACTCAAATTAGGAGAAAGGTTGTTCGTCCGCGTCGCTTCGGAGAGTAATAAGATGTGGTGACAAAAAGTTACCATCAGTTGCAAGGTGGAGGATGTCCAAAGCTGATTTTACTGAATATTTTAGGTTTAGTTGGCTAGTGTTTGTTCAGTGCCATGTTTTAAGACTGTTAAAGTTGGGAATTATGTAGGCATGTGTCATCTACGTATTTCTAGTGCATAGACCAATTTACAAACAATCAGAGGGCACAGCTATGAGGAGGCCGGTTTCTGCTGTCATCGCTATAGCGTCAACTTGAAGAGTTTTGAAGAACAAGACTACACCTTCCCCATCTTGGCCCGTGACAGCGTAGAAAGCTTCCTACAGCATTTAAACCACCATCAGCCTTCCATTCACTTCACTATGGAGACGGAAAACATTGACAAACTCGCCATCCTTGAAAGCGCAGTTACAAGAGAACCTAATGGACGCCTAACCACCGGCGTACACAGGAAGCCGACACACACTGACCAATCTCTAGCATATGTTTCTCACCATCCACAATCAGTAAAGCGCGGTATTGTCAAGTGCCTTAAAGAGCGTGCGAAACGTCACGTAACAAAACCCGCCGTTATCACCTACGAGAAGAAATATCTGCCATCTGTTCTTGTTCTAATGGTTATCCTTCCTCCTTGTGCAGAGATTAACAAAAATAAAGACACCGGCTACCACCACTGAACCGAGTTCAGATCCAACGCAGTGCTATCTTATGTCAAAGGTCTCTCCGAACAACTTCGCTGTTGTCTACAACAACATGGCCTACGCGCTATTTTAAGTCAAAGACTACGCTAAGATCACACCTAGTACGCCCAACGGATACTGTCGACACGGCTGAACAGGATGGCGTAGTCTATAGGATAACCTGTGAGTGCAGAAAGGGTTACATCTGCGAAATTGGCAGACCTATGCAGGAGAAAATCAAGGAAAACAACAGGACTATCCGACTTGCTAAGACACAGACCTCCGCCATCTCAGAGCACGCCCACAGCACCGGAAACCCCCTCCTCTGGAACGAAGTAAAGTTTATTGATTGTGATCTCCATTTCTACATACAGCAGGGTGGAAGAAGCAATTCACATAAGACTTTACCATAACAACATCAACAGTGTTAGTGGAGTTGAAATCCCGGAAGCCTGGATGCTGGTGATCGAAAAAACACAACAGCGGGAAAGTCGTGCGGCAGCGGGCCACACAGGGAACCTGACCCGAAAGATGCACCGATCACAGCTGTAGAATTCCATTTAATTACAGCATAGCACAACAGCATGGTGACACGTACTCAGTCAACCTCATCGCCCGAAAAAGACTGGCAGTATGTAGTCGAAACGTCGCGATCCACACTGTGAGACAAACAATTATTTCAAATTATACAATCGTACGATGTACCTGAATGATTAAGGAAAAGACTGGAGTAACTTCAAATTGCCAAAAAATTCACATTAGAAGGAAAAAAGATCATTGTGAAGGCTATCCTTCGGGCTAGTAAAGTACCAAGGATAATCTAGGAATTAATTGTCGGGGTACATTACAGAATCTCATGGATGTTGTGATTGGCTTTTGAATTTGAGACTGCAGAATTGCATTACAGTCCATTTTGGGAGGTAGGATGGCTGCTGTATGTTTTTTTATGATGTTGATTCTCATCAACTTCTAGATGAGAAAGCCTCATTTGTTACAAATAAATGGATGTCAAAAATTACAGTGAGTATGTATAATCGTCTTAGTGTTTTACATGCTGATGCAGAACAACATTTTGGAAATTAACAGTTTTTCTTGTTTAATTTTTAAGTTTTGTTTGAAGTTGGTCCTTTTTTGTTGATTCTCATAGGTCATGGACCATTCTCACATATGTTTGATGGATTATTTATACCAGAAGCCAGACCTCGAGATGATAAAAAATGGAAGGTAAATAGCTACGATCATGTGTACTTAGGGCATCTATTAGCCGAGTGTTGACTGATATTAACGGTTCACATGTGGACCAAATATTGTTTGACAAATAAAGGGGGTAAGTTTCTGTAGAAACTGTGGTGCTGCGTCGGTGGGGAGTGTAAGAGGTTAATTTTGGTTTAATCAACTGAGTTGATGATATAAATAAGCCACCGTAAAGAGTTTCAAAGCCGACATTTTGAACGCGAGCCCTTCATCAGGGAAAATTTGGTCAAGCGATAGTTGGCCACCTGTCACTGGGGCGGAGTAGCTAAAAAACATCCCAACTCAGTCTTGTCCCCCTTTTGCCTGACTTTCTTAAATAGTGGGAATGCAGGGAAAGCTTTTCACCAGCATTAGATAAGTGGCATTATTACATCGCTCGCAGCGCCCGTAGGCAAGATGAAACGGATCCTGTGTTCTGATTGGCTACCCCAGCGGACAAGATGGGTCCATCTTGCCCGCTCGGGATTTCCCGCATTGAGCCCGCGCATGAATAAAATAGAATTTCGGCGATAGAAACGCAAGAAGTGGCAGAAGATAGTCAAAACATAGAAAACAGAAACGACTCTCGTGAATTTGTTGTGCTACAAACATAGTTGGCTTTCTTTCCAGGCTGTCGAAGTAAACAAGTCATTCCTAATTCCTATTAAAGCGAAATCTCTTTGGGATTAATAAAATTTTTAGTAACCAGGCTTGTTCGGTCAAGACAACTGAATATTAGCCTCTTTCTTCTTTCGCATTTTATGCATAAAAATGGAAAAAAAAAAAAAAAAAAAGAACTCGACCACAACCTAGTCATCTTGACCTCACGCTTGGTTAATAACCCATGTATACACAAGTTTATGTAGTGCCAAAGGTGCCATCCCGTTGGGGGGACCATCTGGGGGCATGTAGCCCTTCCCCCTCCAGAAAATTTTAAAAAGTTTGGAAGTGTCCTAGCTGCATTATTCGCAGTTTTCAACAGATAAATTCATTGACAGACAGTGGACTTGAATGCAAAATATTTGTCTATTTTCCTATAAAAAATGGCTGTCCACGGCTAATAGCTTGATCACGGGCAATGAGAAGCTGAAGCTGTACTCTCTTCTATAGTCTCTTGATAGCTAGAACTGAATTGGCATTGGTACATGCTGGATGAGCACCCATTAGGGCTCTATTAGGATCTCTCCACCAAAATTTTGAATATAATTGGCCGTGCGCAGCTATTTTAGGATTTACATGTACAGGAAGTGACTGATGTGGTTTCTGTTTGGGATGATTTCTCTTGATCTTTGACCTCAGATGTATCTGTTGTTTTCAACTTTTCAGCATGTATTACATGCATCATGCTCGTTCATAGTTAATTCTCCTCAAAAATACTTTTCAATACGATGACCTATTATCCAGTTTCTTTTAAGAAGTATCTAGTGAAAAAAATGACAAGAATTTAATGTTGACTAAAGTGTTGCAGGCATAACAGAATTTAATAATCCTAAGGTTATTCTGAGGGATGCTGCATACAGCATGCTTAATCAATTTCATAAATCAATCAATAGGGAAAAAATCTAAATGTGTCAAATTGCTGATTAGCTGACATTGTTTCTGAAAATTTTTACATTAGTCGCACTTAAACTTTTACGGTCAAAAAAATTCTGCATTGTTGAATGATGCTGAAAAGTGGTGTTCTTCCCAGCATAATTTCCCTCATAAAATATTATGTTACAAGTTTGTTTAGCATTTATGGTCCTCTCAGGTGTCTTCCCATTTTGAATGGTACTCAAAGTTTGTAGATACATTCTGATGTATTTGTTATGAATTCTATGCACAGCATGAGAATGGTTCTCTTAGCATGTTTGAGCACATGATGAAGGCTAATCGATTGACTGACGAGTTTCGAAAACATGGTCTGCATGATGTCGATGAGGTATTCATTAAAGAACTAATCATTGGTGAACCGCTGGGGGAACCTACCTCGGAGGTATGATTCAGCATCTTGCATGAAAAAGGGGGGTGGGATGAATTTGAAAGTAAGATTTTTCCTCTGAAATCTCATGAAACGTTTTCCATCCATACTGGAACCAGATAGAGTGATTTTATTCTGCACTACGCTGAATGTACATCCAAATGCAACAGTCAGGGGGTACTTGACTGCGCCCATGAGCATATGCTTTATTATCATATGACCCGTCCGGCCCTGCTCGCTTACACACGTAATCCCAAAGGAAACCGCGGGAAAAGCCGACTTGTCAAGGGCCGGACGGGTTGACGTGAGCCGGTCCTGAAAAAGACCGTCTAGCCTTGCTACCCTCACGTCGCTTAGTTGCAAAAACTTAAAGGAAACAGAAACGAGAAAAATGGAAGGAATTTGGAGTTTCTTGTTCGGACTCGAAAAACTAAAGGCAAAGTTTTAATTACAGATTTTTTGTGCTCGTGTGACTGCGTGTGCCCGTCTATCATGTCCTTTATAGGTTGAAAGTTTTGACACTAAGTGTTCGTAGGATAAAATGCTCATTTACTGAATTTGGTTGGGCTGGACGGGAAAATATTTGGCTCTCGATCGGTCATGAGGCACGGACCTCGCTCCGCGCGGTCCGTAGGTCATGACCTCGAGCCAAGTATTTTCCCGTCAGGCCCTCCAACTCAGTCATTAAGTACATACTACTGTCAGCAGGATTTAATTACATCAGAAACATCCACAGAGTAGCGAGTTGAGCAATTTCAAACGCTTCATTTCATGCCGGTTTAGATTAGTTTCAACAGTTGGCTTAACCCAAGGATTATATCTCCATTTTTAGATTCTTTTCTATTATTGCACGCTAACACGGCTTATAGCATTTTTAAAATCGTGCAGATTATATATCTGTATTAATGTGGATGACAGGCCTAATCGTGGAAAGTTGGCGGTTAAGGCCTTTGCATTGCACGGCAATTAATTATTTAAAACTGTGAATGAAACCACAGAATTCATTTATGCTTTATGGTCAGCTTTTTTCATTGCTTTGTTACACAAATTGTAAGGCCTATACAAAATTTATGATTTTATGAAATGTATGATTTTATTAAAGGAATGGCGATTTAAAGGGAGAGGAAAAGAAAAAAGTTTCTTATATGAGGTAAACATACCAATATTGTTGTAACATGCAATTCTGGAGATGTTGCAGTCCAATGGTTGACCAGCTGAACTTCGGATGAAAAGGTCAGAGAGAGGTTATCAAGCTCTTGTCAGATCTTCCTTGTTGTGTTCTTGGAGAAGACTGTTCAGTCTGACAGAGGCTCTCTCCACGTAGAAAACTGTCAGGGAATCTCTGGAAAACATGATGATACTTCCAGGGATCCTACTCAGCCACGCCTCTGTTTTTGATTACATACGGGCAGCTGCAGAGAAAATCGTTCGAATTACACTCAATGCTGGCCCGTCGTGATTGTTTACCAGGGGTGAACAAAGGATTTGAAAACACGAGAATCGCTACGCATCCTAAAAACAAATCCACTGCGCCTAATAAAAACGTACTTCGTTTCAAAATACGATCAAAGAGGGAAATATAGGATATCCGACGAAAATCTGGAGAAATACATGTATGGATTTATCTGCTCCGGTAGAGAAGGGTCACTTAATGTTTCTTTGGCATCAAATCATTAAACTAGAAGCATGTAAAAGGTGTCTGGTTGGATCTGTGAGAGATTTGGATGCGTCTTTGTCATTTTATGAAGCGGAAAAAGTCCGAAATTGAAGCGAATTTGCGCTGCCTGTATCTCTTTGGCCGTGTGGAAGAGTACTGGTATCCAAGTATTCGTGACCTCACGGTAGTAAGTCCACTTTTATCGAAGAAGCAAGGTGAATGTGGAATCTATTGTTAACGATCTTTTAACCAAAAAGTGCCGTTTTGATGTGTAGTTTAGGGTTGCTCGAATACCCCTGACTCGAACAAACATATTTCTCTCCTCAAGATTCCTTTTCAGGGCGATTAAAGTGAGAATAAAGATAGAGACAGACCGGCACGGACCCCATGCGGCTTTTGTGGTCGCTTCCCATTTTCGACTTCAAAGTATATATTTGCCCTCACAAGCGTGCCGTTAAGGGATTTTTCCTCTTTATAAGAGATGATGAGAGGTTTTACAAAAATTGTTTTCAGCAAGGGTTGATTCTGTATCAAGGGGGACTGGGAGTTTGTGAAAGCCACTGCTAAAGAATCTAGAACAGGATAAAATACCACGAATGTTGCTGAAACATGTTTTGAGTCATCACATTTTGATGCAAAATGGACAAATAAAAGTGTCATAGGGACTTTAAAAAACAAAGCATATAGCACACAGGAAATATTGCCTTTTGTAATGCAATATCATCCTGCTTTGCCGGACAATTTTTTAATTTCGTGACGTAACGGCAAGTGAAAGAAAGATCCATGTGACATTAACGCAACTGCGTGACAATTTCGAGTTCCGCCACAAGATCCAACTTGTATTGTCTACCGTCAATCGTCTACCGTCTATCGTTTACTGTCTATCGTCTATATTATATCGTCTACCGTCTGGGTTTTTAGTGCATGCCAAAGGAAAAACTGCGAGAAACCACTGAAATAACCACCCAGAATAAACTAATGATAATTCAAGAAGACTGTTGCAACAGTTTTAAGACCTCAATATTTTTAGATCATCTGGATGTACTTGAATGATAGACCGCTGTGGAAATTTCACAAATTTAGATGGCACAGAAAATGGCGGACTAAGCGCGTAATGTCTTGTGGTTGACTAGGATCCTTTAATTGAGAGAAATCTTGCCAGGTGGTTATCGCGTTGAACTCCGAGTTTTGAAATGCCTGCTAGTGGTTCATTGTGAATATGTATGTGATTCGCAGTTAACAACACTACTAAAACGTTGATGAAAGTAGAGCTTTAACGAAAAAAAAAAAATTTTGGCCTGTACGGTAGTTTAACCCGTGACTTCAGCAAAATATCAGTGCAGTGCTTAACCAACTGAGGCGACAAGCCAAGTGAGAGCAGGTCATTTCATAGGTTTGTAATAAACCTGTGAGCGATGAATGAACGATTATGGAGTATATAACGTAAATGCCATATACATGTAAGAAATACAAAAAGTGTGGCCTCATGTAGTGCTTATGGAACGTATCATCTGTGTTTCAGATTGTTGCCAACAAACGAACAGGCATTGACGTTGACAAATTCGATTATTTTGCACGAGACTGTCATGGCTTAGGAATCAAGAACAGTTTTGATCATGAGTATGTTACACCTGTTTTTATGGTTAGTCAAAGGGAGGAAGACGATGAAGTAGGGTTGGGTCATCTTAAGCTCGTAGGCCGCTTTCTCAATTGTAATAGGGACTTTAAGCAGTCAGGACGGCAACGCCACAGAAGACGTCGATTAAAAAATGAGTTTCTACTTTTAGTTAGAATTTCGAAAATGGCTGCATGTGTTTACCGTCTCATAGGGCGCCAGACCTCAAACTCAACATAACGCATAAAAGTAGCGTTGAGTTCCAAATGTAAATTAAAATAATTTGCCGCCGCGGTTTCGCTTCGCAGACGACGCAAATTTTGGTGATTTCACGTTGTTGTTTTGCAAAGGACGGCTAAGAAATGTACAAAGTTTTAAAACGCACGTGCTGGGCAATTGTTCTGCCAATTAGATCTATTGTTTTTCCACGTTCTCGTTGCCGTCGCCGTCGTGGTTTGCTTAAAGTCCCTAATCATTATTTTGTAACAGTTTGGAGAAAGTTTCAGCTGGCAAAACCGGTTTTGAATCATTTCACTCTGTGATCTGTCATGGAAAATTGGCGTAACTTTTTCAACCAGTCAGGTAAAAATCGTTACGATTTGGCCCGCCCATGCACTCACGTTTTCCAGCGCTTCAAGCTGTCCGCTTTTTCCTCTTCCTTCCTTTTTATCTACTTTGAGTTCTATTTGGCTGTTTGTAGTATTTTCCTTGGTTCTTCGATTACTTTTGTTTGGTTTTTGTGCAGTCAATTGAAGTGCACACGTTGCAATCACTAAAATTATTTCTTGTTCACAGGCGTTACATGAAGTCTGCAAAAGTGATACAATGTGAAGGCGAAAAACAAATTTGCGTCCGTGACAAAGAAGATAATAACCTCTATGAGATGTTTCACACCCGCGACAGTTTGCATCGACGAGCTTACCAACATAAAACGAAGAATATAATTGAAATAATGTAAGTCACCTATATGGTTTTACATTAGCGGTAAATGAGTAAAGCGTTTCAAAATGTATAAAGGGGGTAAGTTTCTAAAGAAAGGGTGACGCTCGAAACGTCAGTTTTGAAACCCTTTGCGGTGGTTAATTTACATCAACTCAGTTGATAAAACAGAAATTACCTAGTTTCTTAATGTATAGTGACGAATAAATGACGAACAAAATTAAAATAAACGTCGAAATTGATGAATTAGACTCGTCGATCTCTTTAAAGATTACACCGTTAACATGTAGCTTGAAAATTTGGCTGATTTATGGTGATTTTTTGTGTTCGCGAAGATGACTGAGATTTCTACCTTGAAATGTTTTTTTAGATGTCTTGTTCGTGTGGCAGAACATTGATAAGGGTAACCAGTTAAGCTGCCTTTAAGTTTTCTCGCCCGAAGTCATATCGCCCGAAACCATAGTCATGACGCCCGAAGAAACAGTTACCGGAGTAGAATCAGACTTACTCAAGCAATGTTCGTTTCCGACAACCCCATGAAGACTTCAATTACACAGGAAACGATCAGATGGCCAGAATTGAAACGTTTGAGTAACGGCTCGAACAGTATTTCGGCTCAGGGACGTTTCGCACTAATTCGTTTCGTATCCACGATTCGTACTCAGTTTGAATCGGTTCGTCCTTAACCCGCTGTTGGATTTGCACACGTCCAAACATTCAGTGACGATATGAAGCCCAGTAGACAGATGCCGATTGTTGCACAAGACAAGTCACTAAATTAAAAAATCATATGATTAAAACGGGCAACATGACTAAACATTTTGGGCGACATGACTTTTGAGCGACTTGACCATAAGCTTAACAAGATGTAAATGTGATGTACACGATAGAAGATTCGTTAAGGGGCTATTGACACTTAATTCGTATTTTTACGAAATTGAAACCCAAAAATTTTTTGTGCTACAAGGTGCATACTTAAGTCCACACAGCTGTTATTCGCTTGCAATTCTTGGCGTATCCTGTTAAAATTTTAAGAGACAATCAAAGGGCGTGATTTACTACACAAATCACTTAGGCGTGTTTTTGCTATTACAGGATCAAGGAGGCTCTTCTCAAGGCCGATAGACATGTACTTTTCAAAGGAAAAAAAAAGTCAGTTAACCCCAGCTTCTCATTTTTGCCTTTGTTACTTCTTGATGTTCTTTTTAAAAGAATGTATTCTGGGATGCGCTGACATAAAAATAAACCACTATAGTTCCCATGTATTTCTCAAATATAGTTGGATACGAGGCTCAATCAATAAACCGATTTTTTTCTCTTTTTCCGATGCAGTAGAAAAGAGAAAACATAACCGACACCATGGACGCGTGGTTCGGGAATCTTGCACTCCAATAATAAATTTATGAATATTCAGTTTGAAAAAATTAAATGGCACGAAAGCTTTCTATTATTAAATGGCTTTGGTGTTACTGCTATTCCCTAAATAGTTTCTCTTTGTGTGTATGTGTTACTGCCCTTTGCTCTTTCCTCAATTGATGTCTGGTTTCTTTTTTTTTTCTTTCCGCACCGCCGTAATCAAGAGCATGTTGGTATTTATCCCTCGTGTAAATTTAGTGGTCAACATTGTGAATTTCTTGCTTCGCTCTCATACTCGACGTTGTTCAGCTGTTTAACAATTAAACATCACTTTCGCAATTCGTATGGAAACTTTCCGATAGGGTTCGTGTAATTTTAAGTGTATGTTTCAGCATTCCATTTATTTAGTTTACTTAGAGGCTATCAGTCGAGCTTCAGTGTGGTACAGGCTCTAACACCTTTTTATTTTTGTTTTTTCGTTTTTTAGGAAGTTTCCCATTTCTAAATGTATTGATGACATGGAAGCGTATATAAAACTCACTGACAATGTGTTTTACAAAATACTTAACTCTAGCGAGCCTAAGCTGGAAGAGGTGATTATCAATGATGAAATTCGGCTTGGTTTTTCATTTAAGATGGTTCGAGATTGTTTTGTGATTTGTAAATTAGAAGAGAAGTTCTAGTTTGCCAGAAACTGAGTTTTAAAATATGCGCATTTGATCATATGTAAATGAATTTACGCACTACAAATATTAAATTATTATTATTAAAATTAGACTGTTCCTTTCATGGATGATGTTGATTTTTACGTACAGTGTCATTTTGTTGTTTGTTTAATTGTTTATTTATTTATTTATTTTTTTTTTTTCAAGGCTCGTGATATTTTACGCAGAGTACAGTGCCGGGACCTTCACAGATTCATCGGAAAAATCACTGTCAAGCCAGAAGAAAATGTAAGTTTATCTTAACTTCCCTTTTATAAGAATGGAAAACAAGCGACGTAAAACAATAAGTTTCATTAAGTTAGCTTAAGTAATCATTCTCTTGTTTGTTTGTCAAGTAAGACTCAATACTGCAGTATTGGCCCTCGCGTGATTGAAACACAATTTAAAAACTTTAACTGAGGAAAATTATAAAGTTATCTCCTTCAATAACCCTGCCTTATGGGATCAATTTAAGCGTGCAAAACAACAGGCAAACAACGCAATTAAACTCTCAAAGAAACTCTACGTTTCTGACAACCTGAAAGCCAACAAAGGTAATTTGCGCAAAATATGGAATGTTATCAACGAGCTAACTTCATGTAACAGTGGTAAGTCGACGAATATTTTGGAGATCAAGGTAGATAATAAAATAGTAAGAACCCCATGGACATTGCGGAAACTATTAATAATCACTTTACAAACGTTGCGCAAGTATCAGCACAAGATATTCCTGTTTTTGATGTTAATCCTGAGTCTTATTTAGAGCTCACTAATCATTCGTTTTCTCTGCAAATTCCGAGTGTTGATATTGTTTCTAACATTTTGTCAAAAACTGATGGAAAGAAAGCCATCGGTCTTAATATGATTCCGAGTAAATTGTTGAAAATGTCTGCTTGTATCGTCGCAACCTCTCTTACCTCAATATTCTCAAATTGTATCTCACGGGGATAAATCCGAACAATTGGAAAACAGCGAAAGTGACTCAACTTTTTAAAAAGGGCATTAAATCGGATCCTAACAACTATAGGCCAATATCTGTAATCGTTATAATTTCGAAAGTTTTTTAAAGAATTGTTTACAATCAACTTTTCCATTATCTAATAATTTGGATATATCAACAAAGTTGAAATGGTAAATTGGCCACCGTAATGATTACAAAAGCTAACGTTTCGAGTGTTAGCCCTTCGTCGGAGCGAATAGAGGAATTGTGGGTTGTGTGTGCTTTTAAAGGCAGAAAATGGAGCTACGTTATTGGTGGGAACATGGCAACGAGAAAAACAAGAATAAATTAGTGGAATGAAAAGCGTTCGTTGATCCCTGTGGGATTTAGACTGCTGGTTTGAAAGATGAGCTTTTGTTCAAGATTTTTACGGCTTTCCGTGCTACCTGAGTGTATGGAAAGACCGCAGATTGCCATATGTTGCTTAGAATGATTAGGTAAATTAAAATGCCCAGCGACTGGTTTCGATGTGTCCTTGTCATTCCTTTCCACGTCTCGAAGGTGTTCTCGGAATCGGTCACCTAGTCTTCTGCCTCTTTAGCCGATGTATATCTTTTTGCAAGAAGTGCAAGTTATGCAGTAGATTACATTGGCGGAGGTGCACGTAAAGTGATGATGATAATTTGTGAAGTGATTGATGATAATTTGCTGCTAGGTTGCCAATCAGGGTTCCGTTCTCTACATAGTACGCTCACGGCTTTGCTTGAGGTAACAAATGCTTCGTCAGTTAACATCGACGATGGCCTTCTAAATGGCGTTGTCTTTATTGACTTTTTTTACTAAGGCATTCGACACCAATGATAATGAGATCACCTTGCGTAAGATGTCATAGTTGGGTGTCGACCTGGCAGCTATAAAGTGGTTCTCGTCGTACTTAAGTGGCCGAACCCAGAGATGTAGTGTCAGTGGCAAAGTATCATCTGCTCGTATCCTCAGTTGCGGCGTGCCGTAGGGTAGCATATTGGGTCCTTTGCTATATTTAATTTACATTAATGTTCTTCCCAACTCCCTGTGGGGCGCCGTACTAAGAGTGTTTTCCGATACACCAATCTCACGTCATCTGCCGAGACGTTAACAGAGCTTAAGCTAGCACTAACCCCTGCATTAAATAACCTTAGCTGTTGGCTGGAAGCTAACAGGCTCAGTCTAAATGATGCTAAAACAGAGCTAATGATTATTGGATCAAGACAAAGACTATCTGCCCAATGTGACGATGTAGAAATCAGAATTGATGACCAAATTATCAAGAGAGTCCAAATCCTTGGGTCTTACCATAGATGCTCAATTCTCTTTAGGTAAACACGTTGAAGAGATTTGCAAGAAGGTCTCTTCAGCTATAGGCGCCCTAAAACGTCTTCGGCCCTTTATATCCAAAGAAACAGCAATTCAAATTTATAACGCTTTAATTATGCCTCATTTTGATTACTGCAGCTCCGTTTGGGACTGTTTGAGTGGTTACTTGAGTGATAAGCTCCAAAAATTACAAAATTGTGCAGCCAGAGTTATTACTAAATCACCCTTTGATACGAGTCAAACCATCTTCTCTCCACCCTCGACTGAGAGTGGTTATCTCTTTGACGAAAGAAACAAAAAGCTAAATGAGGTATAAAACAATGAATGACCTTGGTCCCTAATATCTACAAAGTCTTTTCTGTCAATGCCACTCTGCTTACAACTTAAGAACCTCTGAGGGAAGGCTGACCCTGTCCAAACCAAGCACCAATTATTTGAACCGTAGCTTCTCTTACGGCGGGGCCATGTTATGGAACAACTTGGCCAAAAGCTTAAAAAAGGCTTCATCCGACGAGCATTTTAAGCGAAATATCAAGAAGATAGCTGATATATCGGATTCTCACACGGACATCATGTAAAGCAGTTGTAACTGGTCTCAGTTTTTAAGTTAAGCTTAACTGATGATCCTCCGTGTTTAAATAAAGATTTACATACATACATACACACACACACATACATACACACACGCACACACACACACACATAGATACACACTCACACACACACATACACACACATACATACATACACGCACACACACACATAGATACACACTCACACACACCTACATACATACACACACACACACATAGATACACACTCACACACATACACACACACATACATACACACACACAGATACACACACATACATACACACACACACACACACACACACACACACACACATATACATACATACATAAATACATACAAGTTTCAACCAGATGAAGCAGCTTAAAGTCTGATCTACTAAAACAATGAGAATAGATTATCTATATTCAAATCATCAATCGATATCAAACTTGGGAATTAATTGATTGAAGTTGCATAGGATGGTCGACTGACAATCGATATTGACGAGTTAAGTATTGCAGATTGCATACGTAGCCTTCCTTTTCGTTCTTTAGTCGATCAGGGGCAGGCGCGAGGTTGCACGAAGTATGAGTCACGCGCGAGGGGAGACACGAAAAAGAAAAAGAAAGAAATATGCCTGTAATTACGCTATTGTTCAAGCTCTTCCGTCTCCAGACACACACCCAATCACCAACCAATCACAGAGTTCAAAAGACGAACACGCCAAGCCAATACTAAAGTGATCACCACTAAGATGGGGGATGTTGACAGGAAATCCTAGTAAAACTCCAAAGAAAATATATGTCAACCTCTCCACCTTAATAAATACTTGTAGATTTCGCTCTGTACCTTGTTGACCTAAATGAAACTGGTAATCAGGTAAATTTGATTTCGCCTTGAGAGCATTTTCACGTAGAAGCGTGCCAAAATATTTAATTTTTGGGCGGCAATGGAGCTATAAAGACGACGATGGTATGCGATTGCTAAATTTATAATTTAGCGGAGAAAACTTAACGAGCTTTTTGGCAGAGCGGACAAATTTTGTAAACCTAATGCGTACGGTACCTTTACGAAGGTAAATCTCATTGAATGCGTCCTATTGATCGTGTTCACTCCTGTGCATCAAGAGAAAGATATGCTTTGGATAAGGCCAAGAAATTGCAGTGTTATAGGAAGTAGGTTAAGGATGCACTTCCCCAAGTTTTAGGTCTCTTTGTTTTTCCAAACTTAAGATATTCCTCGAAATGTTTCGCGCAACTTTACTGAGCCCAGTGTAAATCCGCCACGTTGATAGGTATATTTGGTTTACCAAAATGGCGGCTGGAAAATAGTGTAAAAAAACTGGAACTTGTTTTGGCTGTTTAGCCCACTGATTATCTAGACAGAACCAACAAACATATGCAAAAACACTTTTTCTCACACGTGATTTCCCAAAAAGGTTTATAAAATCACCAGATAAGTCTGTACTTTTTGACAAATGCGATTGAGGCGATATGTCACGCAACTACCATAACTCTGAACTTCAAACTACGCTGGTTTTCATACCAAGCACTCGATTGAGCAGAAAATTTGAAAGCAGATACGAATTTAGACCTCCAATACCTGATAAGGATAAACATTTTCTTGGCTCTTTATTTTTGGATTTTCGAACTTTGAAGATGTCACGTGAAAATCAGCAATTGGTTACAGTTGTTGTTTTAGGCTAATAGTGTTCTTATTCCCAATCTATTTCCTTTTGTGCTTTTAAATATATCACCGATGCTTTCCTTTTCTGGGCGTCTCGAGTGGCTTCGTCCATAGAACAACATAATACGACCGCCACGCTGCTGTTGATCACAAGATAAAATGTAGCCAATTTTATTGGTCTGATCATCTATGAGAGGAAGAACAGCAGGCGTTATCTTTTCGCGCTCCTCGCCCCACGCGTAACTCGCACTTCGCTCGACTACGACCAGTCCCTCCAGTGTGGCGAAAAAATTTATGTTAGCGTGCCGCGGGGAGTATCTTTCTCCATAACAGGTAATTTGATCTTTTTTGGTCAGGAGAAGATTTCAGAAATCGAGGAAAGGATGAAAAAGAATGTGGAAAAGGAGGGCCTTCAACCCGAGGATTTTGTGTTTGACGTAAGTAAGGCGATGGAAGGTGTCCTGTTATTACAGTGTAGCATCTGATCCAATTGTCGACTGGACAGTTTGGTGTATTTTACTCTCTTAAAGAGCCATACTCAACAATGAAGCAATAGGTAAGTTAAGTTAGTTGATCGCTGCCCAATGGGCTTTTCAGGGCCAATCTTACAACACTGTGTTGGGGACTTTACTAGACTGCTTGTAGCATTTTACAATGAATAAAGGAAAATCTAACAGATGCCCCCAATTTCAAGTGAACAGGCCAGACTACAGCCCTATTTTTTGCCATAAGTGTGTGGGTTCCTTAACGTCCCCTACTAACCAGCATAGAGAAGATGCATGAGACGGGCATGAGATTATCCGAGAAGACTGGAATGTCTAACCATTTGCAGATCTCATGGCAAAGGCAGCACATTTTCCTCAGTTATTTTAAGACCCCGAGTGTTGGTTCGGTCCGGGGCTTGAATCCTCGACCTCCTGCACGGAAGTCTGGCATTCTACAACATGAGCTAACCGAGCAGCAGTGTGCTGTGCGCGCCGTTGTTAATATTATCCGAGAAAGCATTACTTTTTCGCACAGACCCAGGGAGAGGCAATGGCCGTGGCTTTTGCCAATATATTCACGACAAAAATAGAAAAAGAAGGTATCATCAACCAGAGCACAACTAAACCGCTAGTTTGGAAGAGGCATGCTGACGACGTCTCCTGCCTTTTTGGCACAAAATAGAATTAGTAAGAAGGGCAAACAGCTATTACGATACCATCAAATTCATGGATAAAATGTCAGACCCGCCGGGAAATTACATTCTTGGAAAAAGTGTACACTGATTTAAAAAGGGATTCGACCCTTGACCAACAAAAGCGTTATATCACAAAGAGACAGAGACCTTTCAATAGCTTTATTTTATTCGTAAAGTAAGATGCACTACGCCTCCAAGATACGAGCTCGTTTTTGATAAAAACGTACAGAGTTTCAAACTTCGCTTTATTAAAAAACAGGATACCGCGATGAAATTTGAGAGAAATATACCTGAATTAATTTCATCGGGAGAGAAAGGTCACTCTAAAATTACATAGCATTAGGCTTGCGATCAAACGTAAATGTTTCGTGGTCTGCCGGACAGTCACCCAAGGAGGAGCTGAGAGGAGCTTTCTGATTAACTTTCTTCCAAAATGTTGTGTGGCATGGCCTCTGCAAACTCGTTGCTCGTTTTCTTGCCAAATCTTAAAGGTGCCTTTGGCTTCTTCCATTTTTTACTGAAAGTTGATCTAAAGGAGGTTATAAAAGCCGGTTCTCGAAGATTTTGCCGAATAATATTTCACCCACTGTAGACTTTCTTTTTCTGTGATGCAAAAAATTCTAAAAATGGCCAATTCGCCCGCAATTTATTCCGGTTGAGCGTGGCCCCGGTATTAGAACTAACCTGTAGATTGATTATGGGGTGCAATACAATCCATGATTGAATGTTTTCTTTTCTTTGTAATTAACAGTCTGAGATATCCTAACAAATTAGGACAGGTGTAAACCGTGTTCCAACCAAAGAGAATTTTCGTCGTGGTCAGAGTATCACATTTAAAAAAAAGTAAAATTTTCAAGGTGGTGGCCAGTCGGAACTGTTTGGAATGTGGAAATACTATTGGATAACTAAAAAAGAGAGGGGAATGTGAGACAAATGTCCATATATTGTTTCACGGATGAAAGCCGATTATTTGTCACATAAAAAGTAATGATGTCCCTCTGTATAGTTCGCCATGAACTTAAGCCAGAAAAAATAGTAAACAGTTAGCGTAAACACAAACAAACGATGTAGTACTCGAGCCTCCCAATAACAGCGGCCTGGGTACGCTTGTAGAGCCTCAATTTCAAGAAGAGTTTAAAAGATATTGGGATTGTTTACCGTACGTAGAATTTGGCCTGATGAAAGTTCAATTACACTAGACCCAGGGAAAAATAGAGAAAGTTCAATAAAAAATACGCGAGTACTAGAAAATAATCTGTACTTTTAACATGAGCCGAACCTTCAAATTGAAATATTCAGTCTAGGTCTGGAAAACAATTTTTGGACAAACATGGCTTTTTTCTTTTCCCAGGTGGTCAAGTTTAACTATGGGATGGGGGCAGAAAATCCTATGGACAAGGTGCGGTTTTACAGCAAAAAGAAACCAAATGAAGCCTTTCCGTTAAGAAAGGATCAGGTATGCTGGATTATCTTGCTTTAAAATGACGTTCCTGTATTAATGTTGTAAAATGTAGTGCACATAAAGATAGCGCTTGGAAGATTTCGCATTTTTCAATCCTATTAGAAGCAATTTATACACCACATTCCAGTACTGCTCAGTAGCTTTCGTTTGAATGGTCACACGCTCGGTTTTCATCCACAGATTTAGAAGTTAAATCAACTTGTTTTTATGTAATGTTATGGATAGCGCCCATATTTTTCTAGAGAGCGTGGCGTTACGTATTCACTAAAAATAGAATGAAGAAGTTTCAAGAACGCTTGGTCATGCTGAGTCATTGAGAACTCTTTAGGGAATTTTCTAGAACCGTTAGTCAGCATATTTTCGTTACAATGTAATGGTAGTGTAATGTTACTAAAAATAGTAGTATGACAAATCTCTAGAACATTCTAGAACTTTTGTGAAAGGTATATAAGGAGTCATGATCAGTTAAAGTTAGGCCTTTTAGTGAGTTAGTGCTACTGTAACGTTTAATAAACCTCCTTTAATACAATTAGCGATGGCGACACTACATCAACACAACAAGATGGCCGACCCGATTTTCCGCTCCCCTCCTTTTGTCCTGGGGCGAGACTAGCCTCGTTTCCTAGCAACGTTACATTACTATTACGAAGAGCCCAGAAGAGTTGGTGTTGGAATCGTCAGCCGTGAGGAAGGCTACGTTGGCAAAAAGTATTGTGGACGTCGACAAGTTACAAGGATCATTAAGGGGAACTGTGAGTTGTGTGGTAGTTCACTGAGACTATAGTTTCAAAGGAGGGCTCTAGGATAAGATAGTTATTGTATTAGTTATTGGTATCGCTCCGTAGTAAGGTTATTGCTTTACTTAATAAAGTAGTCAAGTTGGTACGAGTTGTATCTTTCTGTCGGTTTGGAAAATACCGTAACTGTAATAGAGCACACTTTCTTGATATATCGACTTACCTTCGGAATAACTCTTTTTAGAAAGGATGAGGGTTGTTTTTTTTTTCTCTTGAAGTTGAAATTCTCTTGCTAACGCAGCAAAATTTAACACACGTAAAGATTGCGCAAGGAAGCTTTCACTCAACTGTTCACGCAAATCAGAAGCATAGAATACTAATCCAATTTTTTCTCCATAAGATTAGCTACATGCTTCCTGAGAAGTTTCAAGAACGCCATATCCGGGTATATTTTCGCAAGAATGACATTGAACTCCGAAAGAAGGCAGAGAGGTTAGTTCGTACAGTTGTTATGGTGGTCAACTCACTTTTGGTGATTGGTGACACAAGAGATAACTTTCAAAACCAACGCAAAGTAGCTACCATTTATTGTTTCTTCACCTCAGTTTACTTTTTCTGGGAAAAGAATCCGGCGAGCTAGGGAGCCTCTTCCTTGCCTCTTTGTGTGAATAAGTGGTTTTTTTAATTATCTTCTGATCTAATTTTCAGATGGTTTGACCAATGGCAGAAGAAGTATAACGAAAAGGTACGAACCTCAACTCGATGATTGGATTGGAAGGAAAGAGCGCAATTCTAGTATTTAAAGGAGAGTTCTAGCAATCGGAAATTTACGCTCGTGCATCAATATTCGGTTTTGCCATTTGGAAGTTTTTAGCTGTAAAACAATCATCCCTTAGCAGCATGTTTCACTTGACCTCATGCCATAAAAACCTTAATTTCAATTCTCTGATACCATATAGCAATTTTTGTAAACTTCTAAAATTATTGTGCTGTGTTTTTTGCAAGGGAGGGGATGCTCAGGGGGAACAGATTCCCGTGATTTCCCCGCAGGAGGGTGACTCAAACGCCTCGGAGGCGGGTGCCTCGAACGCCTTGCAGGAGAGTGAAAGAGGAAAAAAGGCGAAGAGAAGGATCTCTTTTAAGGAAAGCAAAGAGAATTTGACTTGAACACTTACATGTTGGTGGAAGGTCCCTTAACATTGATCAATATTTGCTGAAGAATTGCCTATATAACAGATCACAAAGTAACTTAAAATTTCGTTTTCTTTTTTTCTTAACTAAAGAAGATGTCAGTCGAAAAATCTACCAATTGTTTGTGGCTGCTCTTAGTCATCTGGGCCTCCAACTCCTCACCTTGCCCCTGTTCGTTTTGAAACGCCTTTTTTATACTCTATTCTTTCGTTTGATTGTGTACACTTTGCTTAATGATTATTCGAATCACATTTTTTGGTATCCGTAACAATTACATAATAATCATTGTTACGTAAGTTAAGTCGTGTCACGCGTTTGATAAATAAGTGTCCTGATTATGTCAAGTTAGTTGCTATTTGCTGTCAAGAGAGTGCTATCGTTCTAGGCTACAAGATATTTTCTGCTATCCAAACTACCATTTAGGAGCTTCACCAAAGTAAGTCATGTCCTTTTCTGTGTATGTTTCACATGATTTAATAGTTACTTTGCTTTATTGTTTTTATCGGTTTCATTTGTTAAGGGATTTCGCAAAGTTTGTTATACGATAGAATAATAGATCATACAACAGATTTGATATTGCCTTTTAGTTCGAACCACACTTAATTATCACAACCGCTATCACTGCTATATCGCTACTACTCTAATAAACTTTTTCTGTGGATCAACACGTTATTTCCTTGAATTTGCGCACTTGGCTAGTGCGTTCGAGTTTGCTCCTAGAGCTATTGGCTTCCGCTGTGACTCTTGAAGGTCACAGCTCCCTCCCCCTTCTTTGAATAAAGGGGACCAGACAGAGCTTTCGATGTAAAGTTTGAAAGCAGTTGGTCAGGTTTTCTTAAACAATTCATGGTTACTGTCGGAAAGTGAAAGTCACAAATAGGGCATTCAGCAAAACTTAGAGCGATCCGTTGAAAAGTAAGGAAGATATGGCGCCGAACAGATGATTTGGCTCGTAAGTATTTCCGACTTTGTACAGCTATAATTTCGCGATTTTTTACAAACAAAACATTCACCAGATTGTTTAAAGTTTGCTTCAGGAAATCTATGCAAGCCTCGAGTAAACCTCAGAGAAGAGGGTTCAAAGAACAGGGCGTTAAAGTTAAACAGGGCGTTATAGTTAAATTCCATAGCAGTGCCCTCATCAGTGTTACCTGACTCGTTATTAAAAATGGATAAAATAGGCACTGGATCAGTATCAGGCGTATCAGTAACCCGGGGATCACTGTCTATCTGATTACGGATGTCTTGAACCTTGTCCACTGTATAATTTACCAAACATACCACATTTATTCGATTGAACGCCGGCCTCGATTAAACGTTGCATTTTAGAGCACAAATATTAATAGACGCCGCCCTCGAGGAAACCCCGCATAATTATGAAGCGTTTTTTTACGATTATTAGACGCCATACGCAAATTAATTCAGTAATAATCAAGTTTGAGCAAGCCTAAAAAATTGATTTTCCTCGATTGTGCGCTCAATGGCTGCCAGACTCCTCCACTGATTTAGCTAACAAGCCAACTGGGAGCAGGCCGTTAAGTTGATTCGTAATAAACCCGTGAAAGTGATAAATCAGATACAATGAAATATATGAAGTTCATTTATTTTGAACCGCGGTATTAGATACGTATGATGCACGATTCTCGCAGTAGATAGCGCTATTTAAGCAATAGCGAAAATCAGACCTGAAAAAAATTGGTAGAGCGCTGCACTAGTATCGCAGAGGTCAGTGGTTCGAGTCCCGTACAGGCCTGATTTTTTTCAGGTCTGATTTTCGCTATTGCTTAAATAGCGCTATCTACTGCGAGGATCGTGCATCATACGTATCTAATACCGCAGTTCAAAATATATGAACTTCATATATTTCATTGTATCTGA